GGTGGCTCTCCGCCTCGCCGTTCATTGGCTGCTCGGCTGCGAGAAGGCTCTGGATAAATGAGGCCGGGGGCGGGCTGGCCGCGTGGGGGAGGGGCGCGGGGCGGAGGCTGCGGGGCTAGGGGTGGCCGAGTGGGAAAAGTCGGTACTTAAAGGGAAACCCTCGCTTCCTGTGGTTTTTTGAAGGGGGAGGGTCGGGGAGTATTGCTACTTTTATTTAAATAATTTTAGTTTGAGAACTTGGGACTCTCATGGAACCCCGCTCAGCGTCAGCCCTCGATGGTGGCCGCGCTAGGGAACTGTTCCTCGGCTCTTTCTGCCTTCCTTTGACCGTGCGAGCCATTCATTATTTTTCCTGTAGGTAATGAGCACAATGGTGGTTGGGGTGGGGGGGTGTCTGGGCCCGGTGGAGCCTTCCTGAGCCTAGAAAATGTGCGCCGGAGAACAAGAATGAGGAAAAAAGGCAGTGTCCCTGTCCTTGTGGGCACCTTCGACTGTGGTTTAATGGTTGTGTGCTCTACTCAAAGATTTTCACAAGAAAACTTGTGATATATTTTCAGCAGGTATTTTATGGAAAAGATAAATTGATGGATTTTGATGACCAAAATTAAGTTCTGTGTAGCCTGGAAATAGACAAAAATCTAATGTTTTGCTACTCTTACTGGTAGAAACATGTGAATAGAGAAAATGTGTGCTTCATACTTTAAACGTCTTCAGCAATTGATTACTTGATATGGTGTGCTTCTCTGTCAAAAACCTTATGAACACTTTAAAGTGTTCCTCTCAAAGATAGCACGAGTAGCAGTTTATTTTCAAACGTGGGATTATTGTACGAGCTAGATTATTTGCATTTTGTCTTTTAAAAGGAACTTACAATTTTGTGTCAAGTAACCGGAAGATGTCAGATCATCCATTTTAAATGCAACTGTTCTTTCTAACAGGTTTTTCTTTCCTGCCAAGTAAACCCAACCCAACTGTATAAATGTAAACACACTTAATCAGTATTTTCACCTAAGCTTAATTCAGTAAAATGGGCTTTGTGAGATGGGGCAAACGTGTACTTTGACATGGTGTTTAAAATTATTGGAAATCTGGAAAGAACCCTTTGGAGGTGAAATTTTTATGGCTAACTTTAGTTACCTAAAGAGTTATTCTTTGCCTTCATATTTTTTGAAAGAAAAACGGATCTCAAGGAAAATATGTATTCCTTTTAGCTTCTGTGGCATTCAAAAGTATCAGTATAAAATTTGTGAATTTATTTTTGTAGTACTTCATCCTGTGTCCAAAGCCTAGTTGGAGAAATGTTTTTATTCGTAATGTTAGCTTTTCTGAAATCACTTTAAGAGTCTGATCGCATAGCTTAGTAATCTTTCTTAACAACAAATTGATCAGCTTGCTATCAAATTGTACTGGCTTTTTCTGGATTAACTGTGTTTGGTCTTATTTTTTTAAAAATGAGACCTAACGAAATAACTGCTTTAAAAGCATGGGATAAATTATTTTTCTATAAATATTAGCCCAAGGTTGACTGTCACTGTCAAACAAATCCTAATAGCTGGAATTTAAACCAAGTGTGTGGTGTTTTAAAGAATATGTTCCCTGGCTCCTGTGAATTTAATGTCACTATTGTAACAAACTGGATATACTCTGCCTAGGACCTTAACACTCCAGTAATAGAGTTCAAGCATCAAAAAGAGGTGGATACAGCCCAATTTCAATTCTCTAAGCATTTGAGGGGTAAGTATATACTCCGTGGCAAAATTTAAAAAAAAAAAAACAACAAAAACTGGCTAATTGTTAGCTTTTCGAGCGCAAAAAAGAAACCAAAATAAAACAAAAAAAACAACCAAAAAACATCTTTGATTACTTTATGAAGTAATATGAAGTCAGTCAGTGTGACTTTAAATTCGTAAATTATGTAGATGCTTTAAAGAATTTTCTCACATTGCTTGTGTGTAGACTATTCCAGACTCTTCAGCAGTTGTAAGTCCCTAATTAATATCAATTCCACGGAGGAAGGATTCCCACCCATCTGTTTACTCATTCAACAGCTGCATCTCTTCTACTGGTCTGGAAAAGGAAAAATGGTTGATATGCCTAGAAGGTTCGCTATGGTTGCTGTATCCACAGGTTGTGAGCTGAGCTGGGGAGGCAAGGCAGAGGGCGGCCCTGGGGCTCCCTGGCCCCGGCCTGATATTCTCGCCGGTGGGCACATTTCACTCTTCACGAGAACCGCTCCCCTGAACTCACTCTGTTGAAACCAGCGGCGAGATCAGGGACCTGCCTGCTCTCGCTCCAGAATCTGTCACTCCTATCTTGTATTAAACATGGTGTCCGGGAACAGAAAAGATGGGATGGTTTGTTTCCTTTCTCCAGCTCCGCGCAGAGCGGGCGAGCCCCTCGAATCGCACACTGGGGAAGGTCCTCGTCGACCGCTGCCCGCCCTGAAACCCTGTCCATCCGGCCGCATCCACCCGTGGGGCCTGCGAGTGACGCGCCAGGAAGGCGCGCGCTCGAGGATGCTCGGTCCCCACCGAGGGGGAACGAACGCAACGACTGCTCCGCAGGGGCGGGGCGGGCGGGGCGGCCGCCGACGGCGCGGAAAAGCGGCCTAGGGCGGAGCTCCGAGCTGACCCGCCGCCCCGCAGAAGCCAGACCCGCACCCACCGCCGGGGGAGGCCCCGCCCTTGCCGGGGCCGCTCGCCCATTGGTGGAGGCAGCGAGCCTATCGTCGATAGCGGCCGCCTCCGAAGTCTTCGCTGGTCTCCACCCATTGGCCCTCGGGCCGCCCCTGTATTTGCATATTTTGTGGCGCGAAAATAACCCTTTGCTCCCTTGTTGGTTGTGCTGTGGGTGAGGGGTGGGCTTCCGCTCGCAGCGCCCTGCTCTTTAACTGCTCGCCCGGGCCCCGCAGCGCGTGGTGCGCGGGCTAACCTGGAGGGCCGAGGTCCGCACGTGCAGTGCCGCTGGACTCTTCCTTTAGGTCTTCGAATGTAGCCGTGTCCCCCCCACCGCCTCCCTTTTTTTCTCATTTCAAAGAACCGCAACCAAACGTTCCCAGGTGCCTGAACTTAACTAATCTAGAGACCTCGTCCAGCCCCCTCCCTGCCCAACTCCCATTGTGGTCCGCAGGGTTGTTTTAAGCAAAGCCAAACAACCTGCAAAAAGGGGGAAAAAGCAAACGAAAAATTCCGGGTAAAATCATCAGCTCTGCCAGGACCACGTTGAAGCTGCCCTAAGACCGGGGAAGTTGAGAACGACCTTGAAAGAGTAACGATTTCTGTAGCTGAAATGTACTAATTTCACTGACGTTTGGTGGAGACGGTGAGAAAAAATAAAAACGAAATTGGCTTGGAAAAATACGAAACAAACGAAATAATCATAAATAACTTCAGTAGCCGAGAAGGTAAACATACACAATGTGTGAGTTAGGTGCTGGTGGGTTTGTGTTTATAAATTTCTATTTTTTTTCTCAAAAAATACAACGATCAAAACTCTGGTTGTGACAAAAAAGAAGGAAGTATAATTTTGCTTGATGTGTCTACATTCATAAAGTACCTTACCAACCTTTATCTGGGAAAAAAAAGCGAACCAATTGTAAAAATAACAAATTTATCCGCAGATAATTTTAATTATTTTATGGTCTTGGCAAGGGGGGTGGCTCGGTTTAGTTAGAAACCGGTAAAAGATTATTCTTCAGCAAATATTCAAGACTTTGAAGAAATCGGTTTAAATCAGAACGATCAAAGAATTTTCTGTGTATTGTGAGCTTTCAGTTGCTGTGTGGGTCACATTATCTTCATGTGCTTTTGAGAAAACTGTTTAGTTCTTTACTGTTTAGATCTAGAATCTAAAACCGAATTAAAATAACAGACTAACAAACTACCATGTGCCATGGTCTTGTAGCAGTTATTTAAGCAGCTTTTAAAAAGAAATTTGAAATAATTGAGTTGGTCAAGAACTTAGAAGTAATTATTTCAGATTTTGTTTAATTCAGCTACATGTCACTAATGTGGCTAATAATGGTGTTTTTTATGTAAAGTCACTCAGAAAGTCACAAATGGTTTGAGATGAACAAA